AATCAGTACTTTCTTCAATTTTTCTCTGCCTCACGCTTACAAGCTAATCTGGGAAAAAGCTCATTATATTGTGGAGGAGTGATATAGGAAGAAAGGGACAGAATTTGACAGATGTCGGGATACACCTATGAGGATATACCTTTCAAATAGTTGGGGTATACCTTTGTCAACTAAGAAGCTGACAATAGCACAATGACAACCGCTTATCCAGAAGATAGTCAAAAGATTCTCATCATGGAATGCAAGGAAATTATCTTATGCTGAGAAGATTCAAATGGTTAAATCAGTCAGATTTAGTATCCAAGCATATTGGTCTTAACTTTTCATGATCCCTGCCAAGGTATTGGACATAATTGATGCATATTGTCGCAGTTATGTATGGTCAGGTGTTAATACTATAAATAAGAAGGCTTTGGTTGCCTGGGAAAAGGTTTGTTCTCCTAAATCTGCAGGTGGACTCAACCTTATGAGCATATGGTTATAGAATAGGGCAGTAGTAGTAAAAACCTGTTGGAACTTGGCACATAAAACTGACAGGTTATGGATCCGATGGATTCATAGCTATTACATTAAGGGGCAACAGTTTGCTAGGATAAAGGTGACACAATGCGCATGTTGGATGGTTCGGGAGATTTTTTATGTAAGAGATACCGTTCTACAACTCGACCAATCTTCTTCAGAGAAAAACTTGATTAAACAGACTTATTTGCAGCTTCTAGGAGACCTCCCAAGAATACCTTGGAAATGCCTAATGTTCTCTAATGAAGCTAGACCTAGAGCAAGATTTACTATGTGGCTCCACTTGCATGCTACTTACTGGTGATAGATTAGCAAAATATGGGCTCAATGTGGAACTAAAGTGTAGCCTATGCCAAGAACGTAATGAGACAAATGAACACCTCTTTGTCCAATGTAGACTCTCAAGGAAGATATGGGACATAGTTCTGATATGGGAAAAGAAGAATGCACCATTCCAACTGCATGGAACCAATACCAACATTGGACTATTGAGTGCCAAAGGGATATCAATAGCTGCCCAAGTTTTCAAACTGCTATATACTGAAACAGTGCAAGCTATTTGGATAGAAAGGAATCAGATGATCCTCGAGCAAACGAGTAAAGATTAGATCGCCATTGCAAAAGAGATAGCCTTTATATGTTGTGTTAGATCATCCGTTAAAACTAGGAGTTATTTCTAGACTTGTTTGTTTTAAATTTCTCTGTATAGTTTTCTTATCTTTAGATAGTTAGTTGAGTTAACTAACTATGGCTTTGTACAATTTATCCTTGGTGATAATTAAAAGTTTAATTATCAAAAAAAAAAAAGAGTCATTGATGAACATGTAACGGTAGGTCACGAATGCAAATATTCTCTATAACGGTTGCTCATTTAATGTTAGAGAATATTCCCTCATTGAATATTATTCGATGAGAAGCCCTTGATGTCCTCTCGTTAAATACGCTACCTTCGGGTTGTACTCGACGTCGATCACATTCGTTGTGTCCGATATTGGCTGCTACCTAACTTCTCTTTTTTCTGCCTTCGGTTCCATGTGTTATGCTATTATTCGACCATCTGTTATAAATCAATTTTACCCGGTACACATATTGAGATAATTCATCTTTTTCAGAATCTTGAGTTTCCTTGTCTCCATTGATTCATCACAAGACTCATTGCATATTAAAGCAGGTGCCTCCGACCATATGGCTCATAGGAGTATTTCAATTTTAACGTGAAATTTGGTAAACTAACTTGTTACATCGGTTAATTGCATTGTTAGTGAAAATATCTCCTACAGTGATAAGTACGAAAATGAGAGATAAAAAGGTTAAATATTGCAATCTGATGGTTTTTTTAACAATCCTTAGTGTGCCAAATATTTTCAAATTTCTTTACCTATCATGGATTAAATACGTTATTCTTTTTCTGAAGGTATGGTCTATTTTCTTTTTCCTTTTGACGCATGAGGGGGATTCAGTAGAAATGTAGAATGAGATGTCAACATATTTATCTCTAGGGAAGCTGAAGAAAGTCAACACACTTGAGTATTTAAAAATGTAACTTAAGTTTTATGCACTAACTAGTGACGGTATAAAATATTTATATAATCAGGACAATGATAAAGTAAGTGCATATAAATTTGTATGATGAACATGCATCTATAACTTCGTAAAATAATAACTAATGTGCTGTTGTTAATGGATGGTCATTACCAATATAAAGAATCTTTATATAAGTTAAATTTGATTCTTACACATAATGTATAATAATAAGTTAAATTTGATTCTTACACATATTGTATAATAATAATTGGCTCACCAGTCATCAGCCAAGTTGCATAGAGTAATTTGGAATTCTCAATAACTTTTGGAACGAACAAATTAAACTATATCACTTGTGGATTTTTTGTATAACGTATATATATATATATATTTGTTCTAAACTGAATGATTGGTCTATCTAAAGTTTCGTAATATTACAGCTCATCCTAGCTTGGAGAAGTATCTTGTTACTCCCTCATGCCATAATAAGTCACTTTTTGGGGTGAAATTCAAAAATAGCCAGATTTACAAGTGATAATTGAAAAATAACCACAGTTTCAAAAGTAATCGAAATTTAGCTATTTTTTATGTAAAGATAAATTTGAACGAAAATTCTGTTCAAAATCCGGAAAATATTCCAGCATAATATACTGGACTTTCAGTATAATATACTGGACTTGCAGCATAATATACTGGAGTTTCGGTATAATATACTGGTCCAGCATGATATGCTAGAAGTTCATACACAGGTGCTCCAATCTCCAGTATATTATGCTGGAACTTTCCGTGTGTTAGAGTTTCAGCATAATATGCCGGAAGTTCATACACAAATGCACCAATCTCCAGTATATTATGCTGGAACTTTCCGTGTTGCAGCAAAATAGTGGTTATTTTTTAATGACTTTGCAAACACTGATTATTTTTTAATTACCGGTCCGAAAACTGGCTAGCCCGTGCTATTTTTACGACTTTTTGGCCTTTTTATTTTGGTCCAAAATAAGTGTCATTTTTACATAATCAAGAATGAACTAACTTTAGTTTTTCAAATTTGCTCTTATTTACATATCTCAACGTGCAAGTTAACAATATGCAAATTTTAGTCAAAATACTTATTTATTTTTTAGAAGTTAGTATTTTATTAAGAGGTGTGCCAAATACAAAAAAAATAGTATTTTATTAAGAGGTGTGCCAAATACAAAAAAAATTACTTATTGTGGAGCGGAAGTAGCATTAAAATACCCTGCTGCATTGGATATGCCCACCTCATTTCGTTTCCTTATGCTAACAAATTTAATTATTTTCAATTATAAAACATTTTTATCATATTCCCACATGTCAAAGTTATGGAAAACTTTTCTCTTAATTTATGTATTCAACAATCTCCCAGCTAGATAACAATCATACAAGAATGAAACTAATCATTTTAGCCGATCTTCCCTTCTAAATATATAAAGCACTCAAATTCTAAAATTTACAATTTTGATGGTCTCCTAAATCAAGGAAGAAATAAAATGTAAGACTTTATACTTTGGACCGGTAAAACATGTCAAAATAATTGTCTGAACTGTAAATTTATATCTTGTTGCCATTTTTTCCTTTTTTGGGTTTTCACAATTTATATTTTTCATATAATATTTTTTATAACAGAGAAATTTCCGAGGATTGGTGGCACATAATCCGAAATTCAATGGATAATGGATTGGTCCCTTCGTCTTTCTCCATTTAAATATTAGGTTGTTATCACATTTTGAACTCGTCCTAACAAGTGGCATAGCCACCCTATGCCAAGGGTGGTCAAGCGCACACCCTTCACCCAAAAATTATATTATATATATAATCTAAATACTATTTTATATGATTATATATTATATTTTGAACACCCTTAACACATTTGACTGAGGCAGTTTAACGGTTCAAGGTGTTCAAAGTCACGTGTTGCTCAAGGGTTCAATGTTTTTCCTTTTTTGTTTGTCAAAACTAAACTGAGACCACCATATGTGGTTTATTCGATTCTTTTTCATCTAAAAGATTTCCTAATAAAATAACTCCTAAAACTTAAAATTTGTGTAGAAATAAAAAAACTAATCTTAAAAGTATTTTTTTAACTAAAAATTATTTCTTAAGTAAATTTTATAATTTTAAAGTCAAGCTCTACAAAAGTTTCTTCACAAAAGCTTTCTACAAACTACAAATCATCTCGACTCACTTTCCTTTAGTTTTATGCTTACTTGTATTAGTAAAATTTCTAATGTTGTCCTTTTGTTATTTTAATTTTGATTTATAAAATTATAGTTCTATTAAAAAAAAATTATTGTTTAGCCAAATATCTTGTATTGCTATTTCTTGCTATAAGTGCTTCTTCCATTCTTTCTTTAACCGTGGGTCTATCGGAAATAGTCTCTCTGGCCTTCCATGGTAGGGGTAAGGCTGCGTACATCCTACGCTATCCAGATCCCACTTGTGGGATTACACTGGATTGTTGTTGTTGTTGTTGTTGTTGTTGTATTGTTTAGTCAAATGTTGCGTAGTTTGTTTTAAAAATTTACCATACCATTCATGAACAGTAAAAAATATTGACTTGTTTAAAATTTGAACACCCTTGACAGAATTTCTGGCTACGACATTAGTCCTAATCCATACATCACGCAATGCACTCTTTATTCTATTCTTATAGCAGTTCTTACAAGGAACTACAAGTTAAATTTTGAAATTCGTATTTTGTGCTTTTAGCATGACAATTGTGCCAAGTCTTAATAAACTCTAAGATTACTCTATTATTGTGATATGCTCAGCATTAACCATAGTTTTACTACTTTTACATTAGATTAAAGTGACAGGTTTAAAGACGGGAATAAATTGCATTAATAATAAAGAAGAATGCCTTGAATATTAAATTGCATTAATAATAAAGAAGAATGATTCTATAGACCTTCAATTGGCTGATAGCCACTAGTATGTGTCAAAAACTGAGATTATAAGGGATATTATACATCTCTTCATTACACATTCCATTAGCATAGAAGTTCATGAACGAATAGTAAATACAGAGAACACACACCCCATTTTCATAGGAAAATGACTATAGATTCTTGATAGCCTTTTTACATGCTACTAAAAGTTACTTCTCAATACAATCCGCTGTACATAATACAACATGATACAGTGAACAAAAAGAATACAGACTACAATAAGCTAAATACAACACACAAGATACAAATCATAAGAATGAGTGGAAGATATAAATGGTTGTACTGGTGGGAGGTAGCAATATCCAATGAAATAATTGAGGTGCGCACTAAAAAAGATATATGGATGGCTGCACATTGAAGGCTGCCTTACATTACAAGTTGCGAAAAGGACTGACCAGTGAGCAAAAACTTTGAGTGGCTCGGTCCAAGCAAGAAAATCCACAGTAGGGAAGTAGATACTCTAGATCAAAGGGGAAACAAGAGAAGAAGAATTGATTTCTCTTATGTTTAAGCATATTCAGGATTCAGTGCCAAAGCTTCCTGATATATCATGTCCTTAATTTGTTCCTCTCCTATTCCTTGTTGCTCAAAGTCGAAGGAGAATGGAACGGGGCAGACTGGTTCATCACCTGCATCGTGGAGCTTTGCAAGGTAGGGATGAGCTAATGCTTCCTCAACTGCATCCGAATACAAATACATTAGCGGATGAGCTTAAAAGAGAACGAACAGAATATGATTCAGCAAAAATCTTCATTTCGTGTGGCCTATGTGAAAATTTTGCAGCAAGAATCATCGTTTTACTGAGGAAGAAAGAATGATAAGCTTTCCTAAAGATAAGTGATTATGAATATATTATTGGACTCTATAGTGTTAAAGAGTTATTACATGCAAGGGGCAAGTGTATTATGATTTTATTGCAAAAAGAGATTCTTTTGAGTCAAAAGAGTCAATCGTTCAAGCTTTCCAATCTAAGATAGCAGTACAAAATATGGAAATTACCTGTAATTCTTCTAGTAGGATCGAGTGTTAACATTTTATCTACAAGATCAATGGCCAATGGATTCACATGAGGGAAAACGTTTGCTAACTGCTGGCGAGGATGTTGTGGGAGTTGCCTGATGTATCTCTTTGCGTCTTCATTTTGTAGGAAGCCAAGATCAGATTCTGTTGGGGTGCCGAGAAGCTGAGAAAAGTAAAAGCCAACATAAGCATTTTCTTGTCACAAGATTACTCATAATAGTATACTATAGCTAATTTGTTATTTTTTTCTGGTCCATAATAAGCTGATGCTTATGTTTGCATGGAGGAAAGGAGCAACATAATCAAGTAAAATCAAGAATCCAGATGGTTAAATCTTGTTCCATGTAAAAAATGAAGTGTATACATCCTTATTTTGTTATTTCTTTCAAGAATCGATCTTTACCTCAGTTAGCAAGCGTATTTGATGTACATGATCTTTTCCAGGAAACAAAGGTTTTCTATTCATAAGCTCCATGAAGATGCAACCGACAGACCAAACATCTATGGCAGCAGTGTAATCCGAAGAGTTCAATAAAAGCTCTGGTGCCCTGTACCATCTGGTTACAACATATTCCGTCATATTCTCGTTCTCTATGTTTGGCCTAGCCAGACCAAAGTCACATATCTTAAGATCACAATTTGCATTTAGCAAAAGGTTGCTCGGTTTGAGATCTCTATGAAGAACATTTGCGGAATGTATGTATTTTAGGCCACGGAGGAGCTGATACATGAAGTACTGCAAACAAAAAAAATTATTTAAGAAAAGAAAGTAATTGAAGATGCATATTAGATGGACTGTCGGAGTTAACTTGGTACAGTTTCGGGGGTGGATTTACCTGGCAGTGATCCTCTGATAAACCTTGGTTGGATCTAATTATTTGGTGAAGATCAGTGTCCATGAGTTCAGTAGCAATGTAAACATCAGAAAACTCCCTTCGTAAGGGTGGAGGAATCACGTCTCTTAAACCAATTACCTGCAGAGAATTTTTGGTTTTCTTGAATAAGCAAAAACTAGGAGGTACTTGTACTAAATGAGGCATCCAAATTGCAAATTGCCGTAAAGTTCACCGTTATGAAGCCACATTATCCAGAATTATCCAGAAAGATTAAATAACAAGGACATATCCCATAATATATGTGAGAGAATCTAAATTATAACAAATACATTCTTAAGTATCCACTAAAAATCTAGTCATCGTGCTATAGACAGCTGAAAGCAATAGAATTTGTTTATTCTCAGCTATTCCATTTCAACAAGGGCAGAAAGAAAGAACTGTCTGACCAACAATGAGTTTGTTGTCTTTACCTACTAGTACTATGAAAATTGCTCCTTATTCTGGAGAATCAAACTTTCACAATTCTCAGGTCGAGATAGAAAAGGGAAGACAACATAGCAAAAGGAAGCAAAGATGATAAGAGAGAAGAAGTTACATTGTACAGATTCAGGAATCACTTAAGTGCAAGAAAAAACTTATTCCAAGTTTAACTAAATTAACTCAAGGAGCCCATATTAAACAGTTAAAAGGTCTATGCCTTTATATGAAATATTGGATGCTGTTTGCTATTGTAGCCTTGACGGGCTTGATTTACAAAAATCAAAATTAACACGGTGCTTTCATCATTCAATCAATTAACCCTCAATCTCAAACCAGTTGAGCACGCTATGTGAATCCCCTATGTTCTTCACTATTCATGTCCGTTTCATTCCAATAATAAATTAATTTGCCTTTGCTTATCCTATACAGAATAACTAGTTAATCTAACCAATTGTCTGTGTTGTTCGGACTCTTCGAAAATGTCACTGGGTGCGTATTAGATCCTCCAAAAGTAGTATATTTTTTGAGGATCCGACACGGGTGTGACAACATTTGGAGAGTCCGCACGACATAGCCAGTTGCGTGTGTGCGTGTGTGTGTGTGTGTGGGGGGGGGGGGGGGGGGAGAACTAGTCTGTAAAGCAATAGCATGGGATTCTCATTTCATGATCAGTAAAAATTCTCCTTCAATAACAACTCACAACATCAAGAAGAGTAACCAAAACAAGAAAAGTAACACAAGAAACTCACATTTTCATGGTCTAAATGGCGAAGAAGCTTAATCTCACGGAGAGTCCTCTTAGCATCCATGTAATTGTCAAACGCATTCGCAATTTTCTTAACTGCAACCATCTCATTCAGCTCCGTATTCAACACCGAGCTTTACATACACAAACAAACAAAACACCATTATCGGCTAGACTTCGGAGGCGAATCTAAGATCTAAAGCTAGCAAATACACCACTTAGTAAATACTCATATATTCAACATATATACACATATGTGAGCGTTCCTGCACCTACTGGCAAAGGTATATAGAGCCTTTATTAAATGGACTCAACTGTACCAGAGGTAGATACAACCATCATTTTTTTTTGGGACAAATTAAAAAGGAAAGAATGTCACCTAAAATGATAACGATGTAGTAAACTTTTAGTGTTTTCAATATAAAATGACACATTTTACTACCCGTGCCCCATTTTATATGACATTTTTTCCTTTATAGTCTGTATCAAAAAAAAAGAATGACACATTTTTTATTTAGGAATAGTTAAACTTCTCATTTTACTATTAATGACATAACTATAACCACAGAAATGACTATCAAGTTTTAAAAGTCATTTTTTCTTTCTTAAAACTCCGTATCCAGTCAAATAACTTCACATAAATTGACTCATTTCAAACATACAATGAGTTCAGCGGTAAAAAACATTAAATATTGAACTCATTAAATTTAAATTCAGAATCCGCCTAGTGTTTATATGTTGGATCCAATTTTACTCTCAATACAGAGAAAACACAAAGAGGGGGAAAAAAACCCTAAAGAAAAAGCAATTTCATAGATAAAGAAAAAAAAGAAGGTACCAGACGATTCCATAAGCACCACGACCAATAGGCATAATAGGAGGGCGATACTTGGTAGTGATCTCAAAGAAATTACCAAAAATATCATACTGAACATATTGTCCACCGTGAGTTAGAACCGAAGGAAAATCAGGGAATTGACCACCACCGGCACCCATATTTGCATCAGCCATGAATTAATTTCAGTCCCCTAATCTAACTCAAGAAAACAATACGTGACAAAAGTAAAAGAAAAATATGTGCCTGCCTACATATGAACATGTAATAAGTGTGTATATATAGATAATTAGATATATACATATAATTGGAGAGGGTGTAGGGGTCAATGGAGGAAATGAAGAAGGAAAAGGAAGGAGGAAGGAAGTTTAGGGGAAAGGAGAAGAGGATGACGCGTTAGATGTACTGGATTCCCCATTGACTGGAAAATTTATTAGAGAATAGATCTGGTTGTTTTCCACGTTACAGTTATATTAGCCGCCAAGTCAACGGTCTCTTATTCCCCTTTGCTTTTGGGCAAGTCTTCTTATGTGAGCAAGAGTTATTATGTGATAACTCGACCCTTCTATTTGCTTAATTTTGTTACAAATTATGTTTTGGAATGTATTGTTACATGGCAGTTTGGCCAAAAGGGTTCTTAACTATGTTATCATGGTTTGAATTTTTGGATTAACTTTGACGTTAACTTTAAGTAAGGTTTATATTTATATTTAAGAGATAAGTTCAATAGGTTTGTTTATCTCAGTTAATTATTCTTTTATATAAATCGAGATTAGACGCGATAAAGCATTTTGGAGCAGTATTCTTATCTCGAATCGAGGTAAGTACAGACGTTTTGTCCTTTAAAGAATTTTCCCTAAAGCAATTTTGGAGCATGTACGGTAGCTAGTAGCTATAAATATTATTGTTAATGTAAAGCCTCATAACTTTTGAACACTGATTTGATCTAATTATGTGTCCAATAATATGATTCAGGCAACTCCAAAGTATGTACAAACCGACTGGGAATTTAGATTAAAATAAATTAGATTTCTGGTTGTTTTTTTATGTAAGATTAGCCGCCGAGTCAACCGTATTCTATTCCTTTAGCTTTTTGCGTGCCTCGACATTTTTTCTCCTTTTTGTCCTATTTTTCTTTTGCCATTTGAGTTAGGTTTGCCTAACTGATTGAAAGTTGCTTATAAGAATTAAGTATTACAACATTATTTTGAAAATTGAATACGATTTTATAAATACTTTATGTTTGAATAAAAATACTGAAATTTCATAATAAGTATTATTATTATGTTTGGTAAAAGAAAAATATTACTTTTTATATTAAAATGATTGGAATATATTTAAATTATTAAAGTTATTTGTATAAATCTAAATCATTAAAAAAACATTTTTACAAGAGAGGAATTGGGGTATTGTTTGGGATGGATATTTGCAAAATCACACAAAAAAAATGAATACAATAGTTAAAAAATTGGTAAAATCAAAAGCGATTATAAGCCGAAAAGTTATAAATTGATGGTAAAAATTTATGACTTTTAACTGAATTTGACTAATAATTATTTAACTTAAAAGAACTTTTATATTTATTAAACCGGTAATATCTCTTTAGGGACTCGCCTCGGTTAACGTACAAAGTATTTTATCATTCCTAAATAATTTAAGTACTTTATAAGTGTTATAAAACAATAAAAGAAGAAGAGTATTGCAGAGAAAAGTAGAGAGAGAATTCTTATTGATTTGGGGTTAATTACATTGGAATAGAACTCCTCTATTTATAGGAAAAAAGTGACTTAGCCACAAAGTAACAAACCCTAAAATCTCTCTAAAATATAGACATTCACCTTAAATACAATTCTATTTATAACAGCCTCCCCTCCCCCTCTCCCCCCTTGAATGTCTATTCAACAGATAATGTGCCTCGTTAAAACCTTAATTAAAATAAAACTCAGTAAATAAAAATTCTAGTGAAGGAAAAAGAGTACACATATCTAACAATACGCATTTTGGTTGCCTCGTTAAAAATCTTGCAAGGAAAACCCAGTAGGACAAAATCTTGTAAGGAAAAAAAAGTACAACGTGTGGTAACTCCCCCTAATGAGAGCACCGATTCAAATCATTGAGCCTTCGCATTCCAATCTTGTGCACTAGCTTCTTGAAGGTTGACGTCGGCAAAGATTTGATGAATAAATCAGCCATATTAACTCCAATGAATATTTGTGCGTTGAAAATCCTTGCTATCACATTATCATGCTTATAGTTATAGCAAGATACATATGTGCACAAATTGCACTTAGGATTGTATATGCTTTAAGTGATTTGAATCCTCGAGGGATGTCATATAAGTTAAATCATATAAGCCATTTAAATAGACTTTAGATGCATATCAAGTTTTTATGTCATGCTAGACATCTAAGATAGATAAAAGTGATTGCACACACCATTGACTTTATACTTTCAAGTGTTTGAACTGCAGGTCTAAAACTATATGTCTTTCATATGAAACAAATTCTATTCGAATTCTGTCTCTTTTATTTGGTCAATATTTTTGTGTCCGTATTCAACAGACTTAAGATCCCCATATATACTTAGTGCTATCATAGATGTCGCCGACAAATATTTTATATCGGTTCCAATATTTTTTCATAAAGACATATCATAGAGATCTCTTCATTCAAGAATTTTATTTGAAGCCGATTTATCTATACGCTTTAAGTGTACCATAGACTTTGTCCTTCTAGGACTTATTCTAATGAGAGTATTTGTAGTGAGAATATAGTTACTTTCTTTGGGTCAGCAAATGCGTCTGGCATGATTTGCAACATATTGCAGATGAATTATCTTTTTATGAATTTCAAGTTCATATTATCTTATTCGAGGATCTAGATGTACAAACGATAATTCATTCTGTAACTTTTTCTCAATTGTTTATCATGTCTCCCCCTCATGTTAGAAAAACTAACTTGCTTCATCAATTTTGTGCGTTATGGTGTTAATTAAAATATTCACTGCACATCAATAATAATAAGATGGAATTATTTGGTTCATGGCCCTAAACCATTTGTGAGGGGAGAATATAATATACTTTCGTATATAATGTTTATCAAACTCATACAGATAACTTTATTCTCTTGAGCATTAGTTTAGCTATTAAGTGGAGGCACTCAATAAATTATTTTGCTAAATTAACTGTGAAATAAATCAACTTATCAAGTTGAACTGTCTTAAATAGAAAATCTAAAAATTATGCTCTAAATTATATTATTGAGCAAGTTAACTCGCAAATATCAGGTTGTGGGTTAATAATAAGAGCACATGTAACCATTTCATAGATGCATCTTATGTGGTATAAATGGCAGGTGAATGGACCCATATTCACCTTTGATATTTCCAGCATTCGTGAGCATTAGTTTAGCTATTAAGTGGAGGCACTCAATAAATTATTTTGCTAAATTAACTGTGAAATAAATCAACTTATCAAGTTGAACTGTCTTGAATAAAAAATCTAAAAATTATGCTCTAAATTATATTATTGAGCAAGTTAACTCGCAAATATCAGGTTGTGGGTTAATAATAAGAGCACATGTAACCATTTCATAGATGCATCTTATGTGGTATAAATGGCAGGTGAATGGACCCATATTCACCTTTGATATTTCCAGCATTCGTGAGCATTAGTTTAGCTATTAAGTGGAGGCACTCAATAAATTATTTTGCTAAATTAACTGTGAAATAAATCAACTTATCAAGTTGAACTGTCTTGAATAAAAAATCTAAAAATTATGCTCTAAATTATATTATTGAGCAAGTTAACTCGCAAATATCAGGTTGTGGGTTAATAATAAGAGCACATGTAACCATTTCATAGATGCATCTTATGTGGTATACATGGCAGGTGAATGGACCCATATTCACCTTTGATATTTTCAGCATTTGTGGGATTCAACCCCAATTTTAGTTGGTCTATTAATTAATGAGAACAAACAACATAAGAGTTAGGGATGTGCATAATTTGATAAATACCGAATTACCGTACTGAAATCAAAACTTTTGGTATTTGATATTTTGATATTCGGTATGACATTTGGTTTAAGTTTTAAAAATAATTGGTATTAGGTATAGTATTTGGTATTTTAAAATCAAATACTGAAATACCGACATTGTACCGAAATATATATTATATTACATAAAATACACATATTATTAATTATAACATAAATATAAAAATTTATAATTTTATTTTCCGTTATTTTCTAAATTCATCAATTAACTCTAAACAAGTAACAAGACATTTCTAATGATCAAATTTATTCCTTTATGTACAATTTTCTCTCTATGGGTTGATATTTGCAGGTTTTGGACAAAAAGTTTTTTCAACAAACGTCTTCAGTTTTGTACTTTTGAGTGTTTTAATTAAGAATATTACAGTTTATGACTCTATGCACTAGTTAGTAATCACATCCGAATAAATTGAAGTTACCGAACCGATTAAACCAAAATCGAAATGGAAAAAATCGAACCATGCCGAATTTAATTAGGTGCGGTATTAGTATAGCATTTTAAGAAATCGAATACCGAAAATATCGAACCGAAATATCTAAATACCGTACCATACCGACCGACGAAATTGATGACCAGGTGTCATGATGCACTATTTCAAAAACTTCTGTAAAACAGAACAATTCTTTCAAAAACCAAAAACGTCCAACCACTTTATTTAATTTTAGATACTTTCGCAAATAATCAGTCCAAATATTTTTTTTATAATTGGGAAACTACCGGCTATGTCCTCCTATAAGCTGCTTATTATAAAAAATAATCAATTTATAAAATATTACTAATATTAGATAAATTATCAATATTAGTCAATTAGTTATTTGTAGGCAAAAAATATCAAATTTAATTTTTGCTTTTTTTTGAGTGGGTGTTATTAGAATAGATTTGGTACACCTTAAAGAGTTTGAATTTCAGTTTTAAGATATTTTGGTGGAGTTTTGAGGTGGTTTGAATTGAAAATACGAAGTAAAAGATGAACATGGAAAACAAATAATATGTGTACTGTGTATCATTTGTGTATCAAACATGTATCAGTATGTATCAAATGTATATCCATGTATACCTGTGTATACTGATATATGTTTGATACATGTGTTGCAAAAGAATTTTTAAAGTCGATTTTAACTACGAATTTTGATG